TGCATGTACATCGAAGTGCTCCTGTTCATCCTGTCTCCCCACAAAAATGAAAGGACTTGCAATGAATGAAAGCCAGCAGCTGTCAAACTGCTAAAAGGAAATGTGTTTTGCACAAGTTTTCCTTAAGCTGTGAGGCTCACAACCACAAGACATTATTGAGGCAAAAGGCTCAGATTCAGAAGAAGATCAGGCCCTTCCACAGTTGATGACAGTCTGGTACCCCTTTATGACATCACCTTTCAAAACTAATCCCTCTCTCTCCTGCTAGCCATACAGCCAGAGTGCATCTACATCGGATGTTTACTATGTGGTAGCCTAATACACTGTGCAATAGTGTGCCAGTCAGAAATCATGCTAACACACTACTGCACAGTTTTTATTAAGCTAATGCACAGTAAACATCACAGAAAACCATGTGCCAGTGCTACTGCACATTCAGTTAGTACTTCTTTAAGGAAGTACTAAACTAAATGCAGAGTAACTACAGTGTATTAATGAACATGTAAACGTGCCCCCAGAGAAGTTTTTTGGCTAGCGCTTGGCAGTAAAAGGCATGCCCTGTTACTTGAGCCTATGCATCAGGGGTACCAGTATTGCCTGAACTGTTTTATAGTGCCTGATGATCCACCTGGGGCAGTGAAGTGACACATTCTTGGTGGCTAAAGAGCAGTTAGTTACTCCTTATATGGGATTAAGCTGTTCAGCAAATTACTCTTTGAGGCCCCAAGAGAAAAGTTGAAAGGTCAAGCCATGTAGTCTGAATGTGTGTGTACAGCCATGCTCTGGACTGTCTGTGCCTCAGCATCTTAAGCTCTGTTTAGTAGTGGGGATAACAAGCTCAAATGCATGTGTTCACTCTTTACCTTCATGTGAAAGCCTAAGGGCTGCTACTAGGAGCTGAGCCTGTTACTTCCTTCTGTATAGCACTGAAAACAGATCATAGAAAATGAGGGTTGGAAAGGTCCCCCTGCTCAAAGCCGGGCCATCCCTAACTATATCATCCCAGCCAAGGCTTTGTCTGCTCAGGTCTTAAAAACCACTAAGGATGGAGATTCCACAACCTCACTGGATAGCCTGTTGCAGGCTTTACTACCCTCCTAGTGAGAGTTTTTTCCTAATATCTAACCTAAACTTCCCTTGCCAAGTTCAGGTTATCTGCCTTAATTGAAGTCCCAAGAGGTTGCTGTTGTGGTGTGTCAGTGCTCCTGCTGGGCCAAAAAAACCCAGAGGTTCCTGCCTAAAAGGTCTTGCTCCTTGTCAGACTGATCACCACATTTAGAATCAAAAAGGAATTTTACCCAACAGTCAGATTGGTGCAGACTATAGGAGTTTGGGGTTTTTTTGCAGTAAATAGGGTGTAGTTCTCTTGGATCTCTTGCGCGTATCTAATATCTGCTTCCTGCCCCTGCAGTGGCAGGATGTTGACGGTGCCCTTGTCCCCCTGCTTGAACTGGAAAGTTACAGTGTTTTTGATGTGCAAATGAATTATTCACAAATGCATGGTTTAGCTGGGGTTAATTCTGCCTGAGCAGGGGGTTGGACTGTCTGTGGCCTTTTGAGGTCCCTTCGAGCTCTACTTTTCTATGATCTACAGCAGAGGTACAGCCAACAGGGAAAGGGAAGGGTTAACTCCTAACAAAGCTCTTGTTCTCCAGATGCATTACCTCCATGCAGTCCCGCTACCCTTCCCCCTCCCTCCACAATCCCTGTTTGTAGCTGAACATTGGAGTAGAGGAAACTGGAAGGGCGGGCATCTCTCTCCAGTCTAAAGGGGCAGGGAAGGTTGTGGCTCTTACGGGTACTGCCATGTCAGAGGTCTGTGCTCACTGGCTGCCCAGCACATTCCCACAATGTCTCTGGAGTGGCAGTTGTTGAAAGAAGATGAGAACATGTCAGTGACACCTTGTTACATCCAAAACAATAAAAAATACCCTACCTCAGGGCATAAAGTCAGTCTGACTGAGGTTAGGAAGAAACTTCCCCTATGGAGCAGTGTTGCATGTTTGTAGAAATAACATGTATGCCACTCAGCATAGCCTTATGGAAAACCACTGTGGGCAAGCAAAGCTGAATTTGTGCATTGAGACTACAGGTTTAGGTGTTAAGGGTCACCACTAAGATACAATATTATCAGACTTTTGTAATATGTTCGACAGGCATGCACAGCATGCTGGTTAAAAATAAGTGTTTTTTGAAATAAAGAGAACACACCTTGCACTGGTTAAGAACTGGTGAGCTGATAGTTAACATAATCATTAGTGGGCAACGTTCATCAGACAGCAGTGATGGTGAAGGGAGGGACTTTGCAGCCATCAGTACTAGGACTAGTGCTATCATAGGCAGAGGAAGAAAAAATTCCTTGGGGAGCTGAGTCCCTGTCCTCAGGGAGGGAGTGGGACACAGGCAGCTGCGGCTGAATGCAAAGCCCAGTGTTCAGTGGCACCCACCTCCACCCTGCACACAGATCCAAGGGCATGTGCCCCCCAGGCCTCTGCTGGGGCATGTGCAGTGGCAGGAATACCCCCACACCCCTGAATAATCTGCCCAGGCTCTGATTGTCCCACCACCCAGCCCAGCTGGGCCCCACTCATCCCTGCCTCTGTCCCTGTCTGTGCCCTGCTCCCTCCCTCACTGTGGGCGCCTAGATCTGCCCCCACAGCACCTTCCCCTTCACAGAATAAGCTGGTACTTGCCTGCTGTGCTGGGCAGCCAGTGATTCACACACAGGCTGCAATCCTGGCTGTGTGTGCACCCTACCTCACCCCTGCTGCAGCCGCCCAGAGCCTGTGGCCAGGCTGCCTTCCAGCTCTACCCACTGCCCCGTGTTTGGTGGGCTGCCTATGACTGCTATCAACATTTCTTGGCAATAGATATAAAACCACTGCTGAAAAACTGCACATGAACAGAGTGGCAGAGTGATAAATGAGGAGGACAAAGCAGTCATATGGACTGATCAGGATTACTTAGTAACCTGGCCCATTCAAATGTGAGGTCATAGCTAGAGAATGTGTTGTGGAAAGCAGGGGCACTTAAAAAAAGTGTAAGGGTCTTGTGCATTAACAACTGAACTTGAGGTCTCAATGCAAGGCTGTGGCAAAACAGGGCAGTATACTCTGGCAATACAGACAGAGAAGTAGAAGGTTGGAGCATAGAAGTAATATTACTTCTGTATGCAGCATTACACGCCTACACATGCATATTAATGCAGGGTGGGTAATTATTTTGGGCAGAAGGCGAGTTTTGGCAAGCCATTGAGGGCCACATGATAGGCAGCCAGGGGCAGATAAATATTAATTTTCTAAATTTTTTAGGGGCCCTGCAGCCTGAATAGAATGGCCTGGCAGGCTGCATCTGGTCCCTGGGCCGCATTTTGCCCACCCCTATATTAATGTGACACAAACTCTGGTGCTTACCACACCAGAGTTTATTGCTCCTGGGTGGTGCCTTTACATGTGCACTTGGAACCACAGCATGTTGAGCCAGGTTGGAGCAGCCCCAGATGGCAGGGGCCCCAGGGGTCAACCTGCTAGCCTGAGATTGCTTTGACTTGGCTTAAAATGCTGCAGGGGGCTGGCTGGGGTATGAGGATGCTCTGGTACAGGGCTAACCAGCAAGCTTCCCCCATGCTGAAGCACCCTCATGCCTCAGCTAGCCGGATCAGTCTATATATATATGCATTGATGCACACAAAAAAAACCTGCAGCGGGATAGTACTTGTATTTACAAGTACTACCCTGCTGTAGAGTTGTATTAGTTTCCTGCAGCCTAATAGGGCTGCATGTGTAAACATTGAAATGTTTACTGTGGAGCTAATTATGCGGCTCCACAGTAAGTGTCTTGTGTAGATGCACCTGGTGAAATCAACATCAGAGTCCATGCACACAGGTCTGATGATCCCATTTTTTAAAAATTGCAAAATAGCGAGTGTGGAAAGGAGCCCCCAAAATTATTCTGGAGCTGAAGAACATGCCTTCCAGTGGGGAACTGAGAGAACTCAATCTGCTTTGGCTGATCAAGAAGAATTTAGGAATGTAGGACCAGAAGGGAGCTCCCAGATCATCGAGTTCAGTCCCTGCTGTCAGAGGCACCGCATGGTGTAATTCCTTGAATAGCTCATTGAGCTCCTTCGTGCAGCTAATTAGGTTTTTTTGCCCCTTCCCCCTTTCCTCTCCTACTCTTATTGGGAAGCTAATTCAGAACCTCACTGCTCTTGTATTTAGAAAAAAGTACCTAATTCTCAGCCTAAATTTATTCATAGACTATTTACACACACAAAGAAGATGGAGAGGTGATTTGATTGCAGTATGTAACAACTTCCGTAGGATAATAAAATATTACCAGGTAATAAAAAGGTTCTTGGTTTATCAGAGGAAGGCAACAGGAGCCAGTGGCTGGAACCTAGAGTCAGATCATTTCAAATGAGAAATATAGTCCAGAATTTTAGCAGCAAAGGCACAAACTACTGAGGGTCATATCAGTTCCTCCATCTGTTGATGTTTTCCACAACTTCATGACTTGAAGACATGGTTGTAGTCCAACAGAAATCAGTGATCACAATACGGAGATAACCAGGTGAAGTAGAATGTCCTAGGTTATGTAGCATTCAGACTAGATGAGCTGATGGTCCTGTTGAACCTTAAACTTTACAAATGTTTTTTATATTCCCCCCACCCCTTGCACTTCTCAAACCTTGCTCTGGTGTAACAGCTGGTCTTGGGCAGCACGAAAGAGCAGGCCTGGGCCAAAGGGGATCTTGTGCTTGGTTGGTACAGCAGGAGAGACCAGTGCTGGGACTGTTGGGGAATCAGGACAAATAAGTTCAAACTGGTATTAGCACAGGGTTGGCAGGCTTTTCTGCTCCAATTTAAACTCAAGCACCATTCAATCTACTTGCTGCCAGCTGTGCCCCTGGGTAGTGGTCTAGCCAACCCATACAGTTAAGGACTGGCTGACATCTGTTTCTCACTCCTCCCAGTTTAACTTCTTCACTTCCTTTGTAGAGGGAGGTTCAGGATGAAAGAGCGAGTAGAGATGTGGCAGAAGATTGAGGAGCTGGCCAGGCTGAATCCCCAGGTAATGGTGAAAAATCATATGGAATGGACAACAACAAGTATGTTGGAGCTCAGTACCTGCTTCCTTGGCTTCTTTCTGGAGGAAATGCTGGCCAGGCACAGAGCAGTACATGGTCACCTGCATTCCTGTTCCCTTCTGTTGTCATGGACCCCAATTTCCTGAGGATACTGAAGTTATCCCCACTACTTGGCAAGACTCCAGGATGTTGCATTCACCCTCTGATATAAGAGTAGTCATATGGAAAGCCAGGTGTCTTTGTGGTCACAGCATAGTGTTCTGCCCCTGCTTAGACAGAAAACATAGCACTTACGCCACTGCTCTGCCAGCATCCTGGGAGCAGAGGGCAGGCGTCTTCCAGACTGAGGAATACACACAGCCCTGCTGGCTTGCCTGTGTGGGCTATGTACCACGACCTAGTGCTGCATTTCCTAGGCATAGCTTGTATAGAGGGAGGCTGTGCAGTTCTAGTGCTGGTATATGATATTCAGTGGGAATCAGAACCCATTCAGATTTAGGGGTAGAAAATGGGTTCTGGGCATAGTAAGGCTGTATACTGACCCTGACTGCTTGTGTTCCTGCAGTACCCCATGTATTATGCACCTCCACCTTTGCCTCCTGTTTACTGCATGGAGACAGAGACCCCAACTGCAGAGGATATACAGCTACTGAAGAAAACAATGGAGACAGAAGCCGTGCAGGTGACTGAGTTCAATTTCTTGGCATGTTTTCTCAAAAGAGGTCACACCACAGTAGATGGGTGTGTTTAGAACATAGAAACTGCCAAACTGGGTCAGACACAGGTCTGCGTAATCCAGTATCCAGCACGGCTACTTCACATGAAACTGAGAGACCCCCACCACCCATCCTAATCCCAAGTCTTAGAGACTGGCCTAAACCCTGAAACAGAAGGGTTTATCTCCCTTCCAGAAATTAATGTTAGCTGTTAGAGTTCTGGATAGCTTTGCTACCCAAAACAGGAGTCTTGCCAAGACTTTCCAAGGCTTTTTTACTAAGACCATGTGTGAGACTAGGGAGAGCATACCATGTCTACAGCTAGACATGGGGCTGGAGGGGAACAAGGGCGGAATCTCACTCTGGCAAGCAGGGTCTCCATGAGCATAGGCAGCTCTGAGTAGGATTAGTATTACTGATCATGTTTCTCTCTCCTTGGAAGGGGACTGACCAGGTAAGGACTGGGGCACCTGGGTTGGAGCCACTTTTCAGGGCTGGGAAAAGGAGAGGACCTTGGGTCACATGACCCTTTCCCTCTTCACTCATGTTCCTGCAGAATGAAGGGGCCAGCCAGCCCCCTTCCACCCCCCCTGAACTGGTCACTGACACTCTTCGGTTTGTCTGTAGATGCTGAAAGACATAAAGAAGGAGAAAGTTTTGCTGCATCGGAAATCTGAGCTTCCTCAGGATGTCTATACTATAAAAGCCCTGGAGGCCCACAAGAGAGCAGAAGAATTCCTCACCTCAAGTCAGGAGGCGCTCTGACGGGCTAGGGAACTGCCCTGGGAGGCCTGGCCCCCTGGGAGGCCTGGCCCCCTTTGCTCCCCCCAGGGGTTACACAAAAATGCACTTGGTTCTAATGTATAACTAGGGAATGAACATGGTGAGCTGTGCCTGTCCTCCACCCCATTCTCATCCTTTCAGGGTAGATTTGGTTTTACGTTGTACCTTGTATCTCATCACTTTGTCACATCCTTCTGCTTTTTCCTCTAAGGCTGTTTTTTGTGTGCACGTGCAAAGGGAGTTCACCCGGTCCATGTCTATATCATTCCAGGCAGGAATAATATAATTTCCTGCTGCTTACTGAACCAAACCACAGCCTGGGACCAAAGCCTCTTGAATTCTATGTCTGGACTGAATTTTCCAGCCATAAAATACAATGTGGTTCTTCCCTGTCCATGTATTACCCTCCATGCACAGCCCTGTACAGCAGAGAGCCCCAGAACTGAAAGACAGCAGATGCTCAAGTTGTTTGGATCTTGTCCTTCATCTGGACAGGATAATTCAAGAAGTGGGTTCTCAAAGGCTGCCTCCAGTCATATTCTAGATGTCCCATTTTAGAAGTGGATTTTCACCTCTGCCCTTGGGCAATGATTCCTCAAGTTCAGTTGTCTCATGTAGCAGAAGCCTTGCTTGGTCTTCCTTAATGGAGTCCCTCCATTCTGTTCTCCTTTCTGGGATGTGAGGCTAATTCTTTCCTGGATGAAGTACTTTGTAATCTCTAGATGAAAGCATTATGTAGGCACAAATGCTACTAAATGTAGGGATAGGTTCCTCCTATCCCTAAAACAATCAGTCTCACCCTCTTTCCTGTAGAAAGTTCCCTGTAAGATGCATGTCATCCAGGCTATTCTAAGGAGCAATTCCATCCATTCCTTCAGCCTTTTTGTTTTTCTCCTCAGTTTCTGAAAGCTTGTCAATACCACTGAGGAAATGAGGGGCCCCAAACTTAATGTGCTATTCCCAGGCAGTCACCAAAGGGTGAATATTACTTCTCTGCTGAATCAACTCAGAAGTGGAACTGATCTCCTTTGTTGACATATTGCATCTGCACCCTACCTGTATGCAGGCCAAGGTGTCCAGGAAGCTTGTGCCGATTGCTGTAACTCACTGCAAGTCAAGTGACAGGCATGTGTTATGGGCCCAGGGTGAACTTGTGAGTATTCAGTTGTCTCTGTGCTTTGGGGTCATAGACATAATTATTAGGAATCAATTGCTTCTGCAGGTGCTATAAGGAGGGTTCATCTTGCCCTATCTATACAAGCTTAGTTAGCTATCTCAGCTGAACTCTATTGTGGCATCCATGGCGGTCTGGGACCCTTGCTAGTTCTTACGTAGTGCATCAAGGACCAGCTTTTATAAGTAGGACTGCCAGTAGCCCAGGGCCTTCATCCTGGCTAGTGGTTAGTATGCTACAGTGTTTGGGCAGTTCTCTTGAGCGTTGTGCTCCAGATGTCCCCCTTGCCTGGAAAAGCTATTTTTTATGGGCAGGGTAAATTCACTGTTCTCCATTACTTATTTTTAAATAAAATGCTGGCCTTGCTTCTTTCTTATAACATAGCTCCTGAATGGGTCAGCAGCAGCACTGTTGCTACTGGTCTAAGAGTTGCCTTCCAGAATCATGGAAAAAAAAAATCACAGAAGGAAAAATCCTTGTGGATCATGTCCTCTGCTGGCATATTCCACTCTCCAGCTTTACTTCCTTAGTGACAGGTGCTCCCATGAGAGCTTTCTCCCTAAACACATACCTTTTGCTGCTCACATTCAACCCATCTTTTCCCTTCATTAATCCCCCACCCGGACTCTTAATCCTATCCTGCACAACTCATGTTAAAGTTCTTCTTCCTTGTTTAAACCCTTCACACATACACTATTAACCCTCTGACTATAGTCAGCTCTTTCCTCCCAAGTCAGTCATTCCTTCCACTCCAGCTCATTCTTTTCCTTTGAATTCCCTTTGTCATTGCCAGACTTGCCTTTGTTGGCCAGAGAATGGAAAGTGACACCCTAATTAAGGAAGTTCTCTAATTTTCTAAAGATTCTCAGTACAAATAGAACAGCACCACCCATCTGCTTTATCCTGTGGGCTAAATCATCTAGTGACCCATGAATTACATGCTGGAGAAGTTTCTACCTTCAGCATGAATAAGAGTTCACAACCAGTTGTAAAATATGTGCCCTGTGCCTGGCATGGTGTTTGGCATATGGCTGCTCATAACAGTGTGGCTTTCACTTTGCTACAAAGAAAGTGGTGGGGAAGGGGTGCAGAGGAGTTACTAAATCCCAACAATCCTCTCCTCCCCCTCCCCTCTTGCAACTTACAAAAGGAACCTACAACCAGGGAGGAACTAATATGCCTGGTGGGCCTTGGTGTGGTATCACTATATTGACAAGAGCACTTGCACAAGCTATCTGTCAACTCATCTCTGCTATGCTATGGAAGGTGCCACTAGCTGCCCTGACTGAGAAGCTGGGAGTGCAAGTTGGAGGCCTGGGCCCACAGCAGGGAAGCACTTTGACTATGGAAGAGATGGAGTTGGCAGTTGCTGCATTCCAGGCTAGCTTTGGTGTCTGGCTGGACTCTAGTTCATGCTAGATTCATTGGGGGAAAGACAGGGAAAAATAAGTTACCCCACCCTATTTGTAAAGAGTAGAGCACCACTACCTTTTCCATTTGAGTTTTGTACTGCAGCTGTCTGGCTTATCTCCACTTACTCCTCTAAATCTTGTTTTGGGTCAGGGAGTCTTTTATGCTTAGCACTATCACATGACATTTAGTTTGCCTATTCATTTCACTGTCTGGGAAAGCTGAGTGGTGGGGGTGGTGTGAGAGAGGTTTAAATGCATTTGACACCTCTATAGAACTGTTGTGACACATGCAGCTCTTGGGCATTGTCTGCCACACCACAGCTTGTTTTTGTACATTTGTTCCCTACCATTAGCACCGACTTCTCCCCATGCCCTCCCCACCTCTCAGCCACATGGACAGAGTTGGAGCTGCCTCTTCCACTTATCACATAGCTCTCTCCTCAGGTGGGCAAAGCAAAACTAAACAATGCATTTACCCCCTGGACACAAGTATTAAGCTGCTTACAGTTCATATGTACATATGGTGTACTTTATTTTCAGTAGAGCATTACATAGTATGAAAGTGTTGAATTTTGTACAGATGTCCCTGTATGTACAGAACTAAATAAAAATGGATCTCTTGAAAAGACAAACACACTAGACTCCAGGGCATGTGACATGGCACTGTACAGATGTCTGTCCTCTGCGGAGATAGGGTCAGCACATACATGGCTGAGAAAAAAACAACTACTTTTCCCCCCTCCACAAAGGAGGATCATAGAGGATCTAGTATGAGTCCAGCATTCCTCACTGGCTGACCTGGCTAGAGCCTGTGGACTGGGGAAAGCAGAGCCAGAGCACTACTACAGAGCCAACGCAAGGACACCACAAGAACCAACAGAGTCACCCAGAAGCTGAAGAGGGGAAGAAGGAAAGCAATGGGTTTAGTGTTAAACAGTCCAAAGAGAGATTAGCACTCTTGTGCTTGTGGGCAACTAACCCATGTTGTTGACCAGTTTAGAGAATAAGAAGAGGCTGTCATCTGCCTCCCACACTTAACTGGATGTGGAAGTGGGGAGATAGGTAGCACTATTTACTCAGCACTGTGGGCTTTCCAGCCAGGCTTCTGGCACTGGCTCTGCACTTCACTTCCATTCAGGCACAGAGATGCTACGATTCTGTCTGGCTTGCAGGGTGCGCTGTACCATGTCCTTCCACTGCTCATCTGAGATTTCACTGGCCCACGCTGGGATTCCCAAACTAGGGAGTTTCACACTGGCCATTGTTCTTTTCACCAATTCCACATGTTCTAAAACCAAACAGAGTCACAGCATGAAACTAGCCATCCCACTAGTGAGTAGCATGCAACCTCAAAGCCTTCATACAGAAGGTAGTGCGAGCTCAGCTCTATTTTGATATACCACCCACAAGGAGGGAGCTGCTTTTCTCCAGCCCCCTCAAAAGCTTGGTTCCAGTGTGGAATGAAGGGGGAAAAATGAGGTTCTGTTACCTGGATCCATAGGTATGGAGCTCTGATTGCCCTGAGCTCCAGCTCCTGCCACTGCCTCCTCCTCATCCTCGCTATCCACTGGAGGATCTGGCAGGTGCAGCCTCATCATCTGCAGCACACAAAATCTTTGTAAGTTTCAGAGACCAGGATAGAAACAAAGATTCCCTTCTGCATTGTCCCCTAGCATCTCTTCCTGCCCTCACCCCTTTGGCATTCTCACTATGGCACATCTCAGGCACCAAGCTCCTCAGTGCACTCTCCTGAAACACCTCCCTGCCTCAGTACACTTCCCAATACTTCCAATCCCAGAATTAAACAACAGAAAAACACCACCTCATGGCTCAAAACTCACAGATTGTAGGTTTTTCTTTTCTTAAAAGTCATGATTTGCAGCTCTTTCAGCTTGGTTCTTTCTCCACCTCCCCTTGCATGTTGCTGTCACCACTATTAGCTCTCAGGATGATAGTGCAATTAACTACTGTTGCAGCCCCTGCCACTAGAGAGCCCAATGCAAGCATGTCTGTTTATACCAGAAGTGGTACAAACATACAAGAAGAGACAGGCCCTGCTCTAAAGAGCATATAGTCTAATGGAGAGCATCACGTCGCATTTGTGACATGAAATCCAGAACTATGTCATCTTATTTAGAGGCCAAAACTAAATATTTATCACATAGGAAAATTTTAACGCTTCCCCGGCTCAGCAGGGGTTAAAGCTGGTGAAAAGGTGTAAGCAGACATCACCTTTGAATAATTTCAAGTGACTTTCAAGTACTCCAAAAATCTCTTGGAATGAGGAACTACTTAGGAGAGCATTACTTCTTGTATACTGCATACTTTGTCATCTTTATGCTGATGTAGCAGGGGACTGGAGGAACCACAGTGCTCCACTCCCCATACTGCAAATCACCACAGTCCCCTTGCTGGAGAAGGTGTTGCTTGCGTGCAGCCAAGGAGCTATTTTGAAGCACTCCAACAGGGATGAGATGCCTGTTCAGCAGCTGAAATGCTAAGTTTCTGAAACATTTTCAAGCCTTTAATATTTTAAAAAGTGTAGCATCTGTCTCACCCAAAGGGCCTACAAGTCATTAGCTGCATCTTAAAGCATTCAACCCCTGCAAGCAAGTGTTATACCTTTATGGATGAGAATTCTCTCCTAGGAGTACTGGTTTAGTCCAGTGGTGTCCAACTCCTCTGACTCCCTACTCTGGTACACTGGCCCAATTTGGCACTCAGAGCCACATCATCATCTAGACCCATAGGGAGCTCTTCAGGTCAGAAGTCTGGCAGCAGGACAGGCAATGGCAGCAATGCATTGATGCTTCCACCACTACCCTACCACCAAGGGTCTAGACCCATGGGGAGCCCTGCAGGCTGGATGACACAGCTCTAGGCCAGAGCTTGGTCAGCCCTGGCTTAGCAAGCTTCAAAAGGATCAGAAGTTGACAAGGATCTGCCCACTCTGCTCATCACGTCAGTCACCTGCACCTCAAGTCTAATCTTGCTTTTGTAGAGAAAGCTACAGTTAATACTCCACTGTTGCATTTTTGGTTAACACAAGATTCAAGTTATTTGTATCATGGAGTCATTTCAACAGTCAATCCAGTGTCCTAATGCTATTTTCCTTTGCCCCCTCCTCTCTTCATCACAAAACATTAGTAGGGCTTGAACCCAGAGTCTTCCTAGTCCAGTCCAACCAGCAATGCATGCTCACTTGTTGTTTACAGAGCAGTCTTTCCAGAGGAACCAATCCAGGAACTGTCTGCAGTCTATTGGCTACACTTTCTGAAACACTGCCTCTGGGTCCCTTCTCCCCTTTGGATCATCTCCAGGAGCTGGTGCCTGGCTGCATATATTCTGAAGCAGGAGCCTCTACCTCTTGAGAGGAGGAAGAGGCTCTCAGCACAGAATTGCTAGCACAACCCTACAGTTTAGATAGTGTCTGGCTGCTAAAAGCAACAGAACACATGTTTTCTTAACACAGGCTACAGAACAGTCTGGTTTCCATCACTCTCTCTGAACAGCTGCAGGGGGCAAAGCAAGCAACAGAGCTAAGTTGTGAAGAAATTGCATTTGTTCCTGGCTGCACCAGAAACAAGTGCTGCAGAAACTCATGTTATCTGTGAAAAGAATGACACAAGTCTGCAAATACAGTGTGCTGAGGCCTGGGCTACACGGGTCAAGTTATGTGATTCAGGAAGTGTTCCCAAGGAGCAGTGGGAGGGCTCAGACCCTGCTGCAGCCGTCGGGGACACCTTTCCGAGGCATGCAAGCCTCACGTGGAGGCACTGGTTTCTCCGATTTTTGCTTCCTCCCAACACCTTTCACATCGTCATCATTGTCGCCTGTGGCAGCTGAAGTCCCATCCCATCAGATAAGTGCCCCTCCCTTGGATGCACCTGCACCCCCGCCCCTGACGGCTCCGCGCTACCTGCAGCCGCTCCTGGATGCCGGGGGTTGGCTCCGTGCTGCCCGTCGCCTCCTCAACGGCGGGCGGGCTCTGCTCCCAGGGTCCCTGCTCCGGATCCTGGTTCAGAGGCTGGTACAAGTAGCCACCGCTCTCTTCCTCCTCCTCCTCCTCCTCCGGCTCCTCGCCGCTCCAGTCCCCGACGGGGTCCGGGACCCCCTCGGGGGCCTCCTGCGGCCCTGCGTCCTCGTGCTGGTTCGGGCAGACGCGCTCCGGCCCCATTCCCTGAGCAAGCCCCAGCGCCACGTCCATGCGCCAGCGCACGGGCCGGGGGGAAGGGGGAGGGGTGGGGGGCACCGCGTTACAACCTGCAGCCCCCGCCCGCGAGGAAAGGAAGAGAACGCCCACCTGCCGCGAGTCCTTCCCGGACCTGGAAAAAACTTCCTGTTCTGTGCCGGAAGCGGAAGTGCATCATCATCCCATGTGGGTAGCGTCACAGAGGGGGGCTCTGGGTCTTGTAGTCGCGCGCCCGAGCCGGCGGGTGGGCCAGGTGTCAGAGCTCACGTCCGCGCCGCGGCTGCCTACAGGGGTGAGTGGCCGTCTGCGGAACAGGAAGACGGTCTTCTTTACGGTGCGAAAAACAGGTGTATTTCTGTGTCATCATAACACTGGGGCGAGGCCCATCTGAGCTACCAGCCGCCCTCAGTGGCCAGGAGGGGGCCACTAAAAGTGTGGTAGTGGATTTCTTGGGACAGCAGGTGGTGACCAAAGGAAAAGGAGTGCAGGGTGTAGATTCATAACCAGGGTGTCACAAGAGGACACAAAGCAGAGCTCTTGGCTGTGAGAGAGTGGATGCTGGGCTAGGCCAACCTGTGGTACAGGAGTGTAACTAAGGCTGGGATTAGAAGTCACAATTAAACTTTGGTGAGGGCACTTCTAAGGTGCAGGGTGACCAGGGCAGCAACCCCAGGCCCCAGTTTGGGACGGTGAGGGAATTGGAAAAATAGCAGCTGGTGCTGCAGCCACACAGTTGCACCACAGGCAGCTGGGAGTCACTACTGCTCCCATGCATCCTTGCTGCTCCAGGTGCCCTGTTCACGCGCCTGTTGCAGTCTGCATCCCTGTGGCTCCGCTTGTGCCACAAATGGCCCTCAGAAGCCAGTGTCTAGGTTACGCCCATGCGGCAGAAGGCTTAGAGCGCTGGTGTAGTTGTTGCTGGTCCAGGAAACATACAAGAGGTAAGGGTTTTGGTGGTATGTTTTATGGAACCAGCTCTATAACCAGACAACCTTTTTGGCTTCAAAGAAAGGCGTTTCATGGCCAAAACTTTTCCAGTGTCTCTCAATATACAGTTGGCCCAATACAAGATAACACAAAAAGCCCCTTGCCTTAAGCCTGTATGGTTTGCTTGTCCATGTGTGTAGGTGCACATGGATGCACATATTCGTTCAACCTTGCCTTGCTCGCTTTACTGGGATGTAGTTACTTGCACAGTAATCCTGACTGATTACAAGACTACAGGAAGTGCTGCTCCAACATCCAGAGACCGCCCTCGACCAGAGTTCCTTTAGTCCCTTCTTCCAAGGGCTTCTCTTGGCCTTTTTGAAGGGGTCCTTTGATGCTTCTCAGTCGGTCTGGGGCTTTCTTGCCTTTTGGTTTCTGTCTCCCCTCCCCTCTTCCCAGGACAAAGCCAGAGGGAGAAGTCTGAGTTCCCGAGTAGCCCTGCTTTGCTGACAACAATGCAGCCTTGCTTGGGCCTGCAAAGAGTCTTGGGGCCCCGAGTGCCACAGGGCAATTGTCCCTGGCTGGGATGAGCCCCACGATGTTGTGCGTAGGGGCTAATGGCCTCCTGCTGCAGCACTGCTTTGTTGCCTCTCTCCTGAATTTGCCCCCCTCTCCGCCTCCAAACGTCACCAGCCGAGAGACTTCCCGCCTGCTTGGGGAGGAGCTCTTTCGCGGCCTCCCGGGGCTGGGTGAGTTTTCTACTCTCTCGCTCTGGAGGGAGCTGGCAGGGATGGGCACGGCCCGGAGCGGTGGGCTGCGCCCAGCGGTGCGTCCCCCGCCGCCTGGCTGC